TTAATGGCGTTAGATTAGTATTTGTGTGACAACCAATCCATTTGCAAGAGCCTTAAAAATTTACAGGAAGACAAATTGTTGGACAATTTTTATGCACAAAATTTCGGCATTTACGTCCGATACTCTGAGGAGTTCTCATTAGTAGAAACATGGAGTTTTCCTTACTGGCAATTTTATCTAGTATTCTGGCAATTTAATGAATTTTAAAATTTGAGCCATTAATTGTTCCATAGGCTTTTTACTGTTGCATAAAGAAAATGTATGGAAACTATAACTATAGATTCTATAAGAACTTCGAGATGCAACCAATAGATAGCGACACAGCCGATATTTAAATACTATTTATTCCTCAGAGCGTTTTGCACGTTTTAGCTAGTGTTGTGTTTCTCGATACGTTTTCAGTAGCACTTTAGTTTTATTTCATTACATTCATTCATAATTTTCATTTTAGTTTATTTCTTATTTACTTCTTATATATTAAGTACATAAATTCTTTATATTAGCCATTGTCTATGTGTATTTAAATTAATTAATTTACCTTCCATTCTTAATTTTAAATATTAATTTTTGCTGATACAATTAATAATGAACTAAAAATATCTACTTAGTAAACTTTGTATATTTTGTATATATTACTTGTAAGCTATAACAGGTGAGCTTGGTGAGCTATTGAAGGGGGTAAAGTATAGATTTATTTGTTATTTTTGTAATTTTGTGAAAATCATTTTGGCATCATTGAAATACTTTTATAGTTAAATTTTCAGTTGTACCTGATGAGGGAGACAGAACAGTCTTCGAAACGTCATAAGAATAAGTGAATAAAATTTTTATGTAAAAGTTTTTTGGCAGTTTTCATTGAGGTTGTCCATAATTTAAAATAAGAGACTACACAACAATTATATATAATAATAAACTACTATTCAAATCTCTTTGAAATATAAAGTAGTAATTAATTTTCTATCTAAACATTTAAATACTACACATTAATACAAGTAGAGCTCAGAAGTTAAGCCATTTAATTTGCCTAACAAAGGCATGTAAAAATTAACTAAAACATGACATGAGTTTAAAAACGTTATTAGAGGCTAATCATTTAAATTATTCATCTTTTATTTACAATACTGATATTAATACAAGCGCTTACAAGGAAACTTATTCTTGATTGGATCATCTATATATTTTGTAGTCTTTGTTGGATATCTATTATTTGTAAAGGTATCCTTTCACAACTGAATGTTATTCTTTAATATTTCTACAAACCATATTTCAGCATTATGACTGCAAATTTAATTCACTGTTGATTCTAAGAAGAGTTAAGTGTGGGCTGAACTATTCTTTTATGAATCATTGAATTATTGTACACTAGAAAAACTATCCATTGTTCTCATTCGTTGCACTATAAGCTATTCACCAGTACATGAAACAATCCGGCTATATAGTATCATATACAAAGGTGTATTTCCTCCAGAGGAGTTGGATGCCACACGTAAGCATGAGATGCAATTCCTTGTGATTGAAGAAAGTTTATTGGTATCATAGCATAACGTTTCAGCAAGTTCATTGATATTGGTACTAGTTGAAAAATAATTCAAAAAAGAAGAAGACAAAAAATTGCTAAAATTAACATATTTTCATAACCAAATTTAATCGTTCACGTCAGAATACACGCAGAAATTATGTATGAATATAGAATTCTCTGATATTCAACACATAAAAATACACATAAAACGCACACAATACACCAAATAAAACTCATAAAAGCCATGAAAACACAACGCAACACAACTCATGGACGCCAGGTACCACCAATTATTAAAATACCTCAACAGCTGTTTGGAGCTGTGCGCAGAGTCCCCATATTGCTTTTTTGTTGAATTCATAAGCATTTGTAAAACCGATTCAGGAAGTTATAGACTGAGAGTATATTTAGTTATAGATAGCCTTATAGATTCCGAAAGTCTTATTGGTTGTTCTAGAAACACTTTTTGGTGCTATGGACTATTTTATAGAACCAATAAGCTTATAGATTCCATATCGAACGTTTATGCAACCGGTCCTAACACTTCGCTATTGTTACATCTTTGTTAATATTGTTTGTTAATGTTGTAATATAAATTAATAATAATATAAATTAATATAAATTTGGTTATTTACAAAGTGAAACATTTCTCAAAAACGGCTCCAAATTTTTTCTTCAAACTTTTGGCAGGGATAGTGCTAAATGTACAAATATGACATTATGCCATATTTTATATATAATAAATTCATATATATATATATATATAATAAATTGCCGCTAATACAAATGTAAACCACGTGAGACAAGTAAAAAATTAAATTTTTGTAATTTTTGAAAAAAGAAAAGATATTTTATATATATTACATTATATATTTATATTATATATATTATATTATTACATTTGTATTAGCGGCAATTTGTTAAAATTAATTAATTTATGATTGCATGTGCTTTAAATAATGTCATATTAATTTTTCTCAAACTTTTTCTGTGAAAACTAGCCAAAAATTTCGCATTTTCAGAAACGTCCGACATCAATTTTCTGAAAAGCGTATCCCATTTTTTCTTCAAACTTTTCGAACAGATAGTGCTAATTGCACATATGACATAAAGTTCATTTCGAGGTATATTTTGTTTTTCAAAAATTACACAAATGTAATTGTATGTGCTTTGAATAATGTCATATAAATTTTCTCAAAAACTCGACCGTTTTCTGTGAAAACAAGCTCGAAATTCCGCATTTTAATAAACGCTCAAAAGACATTTTCTAGAAAACAGCTCCAAATGCTTTCATCAAACTCTTTGAACAGATAATGCTAATTGCACTCTTTAATAGGACGTAAAGTTCATTTTGAGGTATTTTTTGTTTTCCAAAATTACACAAATGTATTTTTTTAAGATTTCTCATGCTGTTAATATGCAAACTTCCAGCAATTTGTAAGCACTATTGTATTTGTGAGTTAATATGACTCAAATTACATCCAAGAACAGTTTTTCGAAAACTCAAATATTTTCTGTGAAAAAGAACTTCAAATTTTGAATTTACAGTAGCGCTAAATCGTCATTTTCGTAAGAACGGCTCCAAATTTTTCAAAGAAGATTGCCATTTAGGGCAGTATTTTACTTCAAGTTTCTTGAATATTTCTAAAATATAAATCCGGTTTGGTACTAGGAAACCGAAGAAATTAGAAAATTTCCAAACAAAATGTACTTTGTTCGGCGATTTGCTCGGCAACTGGCAAGAGAATGTGTCAAGTCCAAAAAAAATTTAAAACTAATACGGGAAAGTCTGTGCCATTCTGTAGCACCACTGATTTCGCTATCAGGTCCCGGCATTTTTTTTTCTGACGAAAATCCGTCTTTTTTTCGCATTACATAACTATCCCTATACTATGAACATTACTCGATATATACGTATGTATACGGGAAAGGAAAGCACTAATAGTGCTGCAGTAGCCTATACTTTCTCGCAATATTATAATGATATCATTATGTACGATGGGACGCCCTTGATGCTTCATTAATTTCAAACAGAAATTACGCAAAAACTACTAAGTTTCACAAAACAATGTACATGATTTTTTTTAAAGAGCTAATTTTGTACAACAGACTATGTCTGAGGCAAAAATATGTATCTTCAATTTTGTAGTTTTGATTAATTTTTGCAATATTCGAAAAAAACGTGTAATTCCCGAAAATAGGACTAGTATCATATTTTTTCCTCCCCTTATTGCATAAGTGGAGAAAATGTGAAGAAAAAATTTGGAAAGGATTTGAGAGAAAAAAATAGCGATAATTGCAAGCGCAAAATACGCAAAACTACGTCTTTCTTTACAACATACTTTGTGTGAGCCAAGAATTTCTATCTTCAATTTTGTAGTTTGTTTGTTTGTTTGATTGTGTTTTTTTCCTTCGATTTTCGAATAATTGGGGATATTAATGAAAATGAGATCTGCATCACACTCATAAACATCCTTCGCACTAATCAACAATAAAATTAAAAAAATTAATCCAAAAAGTGTACTTTACATGAAGCCTCCTGGACATCAAAGATTAAAATATCGGTTTCAAAATTCAGGGGCCGCGACATTAACCAGAACTATTGGGTAATATCAATTTGGTGAAAATTGGTAGAACTGTTTATATGCTATGTTTATATGCATTGTGCACAAACAGACGGACAGACAGACGTTTTGACGTAAGAAAAACATGGGTTCTGGCTACACCAAGAGATAAGAGAGTGTTTTTTTTCCTGCGGTTTTCCGAGGCACTATTACAATACTTTCTCTTCTCACGTTAGTATATGCGAGAAAGTGTAAACGGAAGTATAGTCATTGTCGGACCACTGTCCCCACGCCCGATGCCGTGGTTGGTCGGAATAGCAAAAGGAAAGAGCGCGGTTTTTTCGTCGTGAATCACTATTGGGCCTTACAAATTAGCCAAACTTGTTAAAGATAATCGTGAATAACGCGGAATTTTGAATACAAATTCTGTTAATCGCGATATATTTTTGTAAACATATCCACTTTTTGGCTCAAGGATATTTTAATCAAGGGCAAGGTCCCGTCCGGTATTATCATAAATTATAAAAAGGATAAAGCAGCGAACGTAGTACCGGTATATCAGAATGGAGATGAAAACTTTTCGAAATGACTATCGTGAAAGACTGAACACCTTTATTATGTAATTTAAGTTAAACCAAACATATATAGTCGACTTTGTAGATGCCTGTGTTAAGAAAGCGATTATTTTAGCTTACTAGTACTTGGAAGAGGATGAAGATTTGTAGAATATGTGTGATGATTGCAATGTGTACTTGTGTGTTATTTATAGTTCCTGTTTCATTGGGTAAGTTTTAACATAATACAAGTATTTATATGTCAAGTATCAAGAATGTTGTATCAATGAGTATAAAAGTAATGGACGGATCATAAAATTACAATTTCAAATTGGGATTACTAAAATATTTTTTCATTTTCAGCAATATTGCCACATATGAACAATTTACCTGTATCTACCACTAGTGATGAAGCACAAACAGCTGCAGCAAAAGCTGTAGCCCAAAGGCTTTTGAATAGAAAGGCAGCCCTTTTTATTATTAAAGTTAATAAGACCATTAGTCATGATAATAAGGATACATTTCAGGTAGTAAATTGTTATGGATACTGGTTTGTAAATTGGATAAAGAAATCAAAAATAGAAATTCTGTAATGTTTTGCAGGTGGTAAAAGACACAGCTACAGGAAAAGTGAATATTACAGGAAGCTCTGGAGTTTCGGCATGTTGGGGTTTACATCATTATTTGAAACATTATTGTAATTGTCATATCTCTTGGGATGGAGATCAACTGCTTTTACCTGAAGAACTACCAGACATATCTATTTCTGTGTCTGCTTTGGATTTGTATCGTTACTATCAAAATGTTGTTACTACTAGTTACAGTTTTGTATGGTGGGATTGGAATCGTTGGCAAAGGGAAATAGATTGGATGGCTCTAAATGGAATAAACATGGCTCTTGCCTTCACAGGACAGGAAGCAATTTGGGAACGTGTCTACCTCAAATTAAATTTAACACAAAAAGACATTGAAGAGCACTTTTGCGGGCCAGCATTTCTTGCCTGGTGTCGAATGGGAAATATTAGAGGGTGGGGTGGTCCTTTGCTTTCAGACTGGCATCTCAATTCATTACAATTACAACACAGTATTCTTCAAAGTATGCGGGACCTGGGTATACTGACAATTTTACCTGCATTTGCTGGACATGTACCAAAAGCTTTTAAAAGGTAAAGTTCCTTATAATATATATTTTTATATCAAGGTATCAATTTGTTTCAGTATTGAAACAGTAGTCTTCACAAAGAAGATACTCGCAAGAATTAATGTTAAAATTTTGTTATTTCAAAAGCAGAAATTCATAACTGTTATGATATATAGTCAAAAAAGAAATTCGCATCGGGAGGGATCTCCTGTGGTACTGCACTCTTCCCAAAGAGTGTCCTAATAGAGGGCATTACCTTGTATAAGATCCCAGTGAAGAAAAAAAATCTGCATTCAATACATACTCTTCAAAATAAACTGAAAGATTTCATGTTTGATTGTATATTCTACAGTTGCAAATTATTCATCAGCTGGATAACTCTTTGGCTGAATCCCAAAGTATTCATGCTGGACATTTTCTGCCAATTGAAAAATCAATTTCTACGATAGTTGTAATGTATTTGTGCAACTTGTAAATATTATATGTGGTTTGATTCCTTGTTTTATACAAAATAATAGTATTTTATTGTTTTTTTAAGTCTAATTCAATAAACAAAGTAATGTTAAATGATTTTTTTTTACATGAAACACGTAATTCTTGTAATTTGCAGAAAATTCCCGGATGTAAATATGGTTAGAATGAATCAATGGTGTAAATTTTATGATCGTTATTGCTGGTGAGTTTCTTAAAATAATGAAATGTATACATACAATTATGATAAATTTATAAGTATTCCTTTTTTGCAGTCCTTATTTACTGGAACCTAAAGAGCCATTATTTCGAAGACTGGGAAATATGTTTATTAATGAAGTAAATATATTCTTAGAGAGCTAATTATTTTTGTGTTTGGAAATTTTAATATTTGCAAATTGTTTTATTGTTGAATGCATTGTTTTTATTACTAGTTAATTGCAGAATTTGGGACTGACCACTTTTATAACTGTGATACTTTTAATGAAATGGTCCCTCAGTCTCAAGGCTTGGTGTATCTAAGAAATGTTGGTGCTGCAATTTTTGAGGCAATTTCTGATGTAGATCCTCAAGCTATCTGGTAATTTAACAGTTATTCCTTTGTGAACTAACTGTAGATTGCCATTCAATGTGTCAAGAATTTAACAGGGATGAGTTTTTGCACACAATGTCTTGTTCTGAACAGTAGAAAGAACAATAGCTTATCTCACTCAGTATCAAAGGCAAGGATGTTTTTGAAAATACCCAGTTTAAAATCTTAATCTGCTTCAGGCTACTTCAGGGCTGGCTGTTTGTTAATCAAGCTTCTTTCTGGAATCGCGACCGAGTTCAAGCCTTTGTCACCAGTGTACCACTTGTGAGTGTAAAATGTTTTTGGAATGTTTATAAAAACAAATGCAAGAAAGATGCAATTTGTTATTCTTTCTTACTGTTTGTTTATTTGTGTTTATCTATCTGTGCACATTACTTACAATGAACTGTGGAATTAACTGAACTTTGATGACTTGTAGACAAGTATTAGTTTTGTTTTTTGGTTGAAGAATGTTGCAAGCTTGGTTATTAAATATTTAAAATACTGTAGGTGTTCATTGTGATGGATTTAAGATATAGGTGGCAGGAGGGAAATGAAATACTTCCTGCTGTCTTGCAGTTGAGCTTTGTGCTGCTTAAAGGCTAGAGGAAGACAACCTCAAGAATAAATTTCCTGATCCTACAGGTTAGGGGTTGGACAAAGGGTCAACAACGCATTGTCAGAAAAAGTTATTGTTACAAAACACAAACAACAGCCTTGGATAGAACAGTTGAATATGTACATGAGGCGCGGAAGAAAGGGACATGATATGAAGGTGGGAACGTGGAATGTGGGAATAGTGTTGAAACCAGGATAGACGGATGAAATATGAAATAAAATGATTAAATATAATATAGACATAATGGCACTACAAGAAGTGAGATGGCAAAGTAAATGACTGAGAGATAAATTGGACTACACAATGATATACAATGGTCGTGAGGAAAGAAGAGATCTTTATGGCACAGGTTTTATATTGATATATAAGAAAGAGTATGTTTATTGGAATATATGATAAGATAAGTGAATGGTTTGCTAGAATTCGTTTGAGGGGAAGGTACAGAAATATTACGATAGCAGTGTATGTGCTTTCTGAAGATAAAGATGAAGAAGACAAAGAAAAATATTATGAAGAACTGGAACAGATATGCAACAAAGTACCAAAGTATGACACGATGAATGTATTAGGTGATTTCAACACTTGAGATAGGGAAAAAAGATATTATGAAAGATTATGCAGATAAGCACATTACATTAAGTGAGTAACAAAAATGGAAATATGCTACGGCAATTTGCCGTAAGAAATGACATGAAAATTAAAAGCATGTGTTTCCCACATTAAAGAATACATTTGGGGATGTGGAGATTTCCAGATATAGAAACAGTTAAACAAATTTACCATGATCTTGTCAATGGAAGATAATCATCCATCCATTATTGATGTTTAATGTTATGGAAGCTAAAATTGTGACTCTTAATATTATCTAGTGGAAGCAGTAGTGAGAGAAAAACTATTGAATATAAAAGATCAAGAAAAGATTGTAACAAAGCAACTAGAAATAAATGAATTTAAGAAAGAAGAGGTGTGACAGAGACAGAGAGTATAAATCAGAGAGTATATGGGCGGAGGTATCAGCAAGAGAGAAAGGACCACCTGGAGCAACGAAGCGAAAAAGATGATATAGGGGAAGAATAGAGAAGAACAGAAGAAATAATAAAAGGGCTATAAATAACCAATTAAAAGGGAAATGGAAAAGAGGAATGATATATCCAAAATTCAAGAAAGGAAATATTGGCATGTGAAAATGATAAAGGAGTTACTTTTATAAATGTTGTTTACAAAGTATTATCTGAAATAATAAATTAGAGACATGACAAACTAAAGGCAAGCAACATAAATACAACTGCACTATGTCCCGAGTTTTGCCACAACAGCAAGACTGATGATGATGGCAAAGCCGTCAAAGTAATAAACATACTATGCTGACAGAAATGTCTTTTACATTTCTTAATAAACATACTATGTTGACAGAAATGACATCTTTTATTTCTTCAATACAGATAAACCAGTGATCATAGAAACAAAAAAGAAGGAAGAAGGATCCAAATATGTGGAAGATTACGTAATGTTCTACAGGGAGTAGCACTAGAAACTGGTCAGCAGAGGTAGTAGCAATACTAATAGAGAAGAAATGGCAAGAAAATATAATAGAATATGGTTGGATTACATCTAGACTAATAAAACTTACCATGATAATACAAAATTACATTTTAGGAATATGTGGACATTATGAAGGGAATATAAAAGAGACAAGAAAGCTGTAGGAGGAAATACAAGAAAACCTCAACAAAATCAACAAGAAAGATAATAATCATGGGAGACCTCAACGCAAGAATCAGAAGGGCAAAAAGAATTAAAGGATTCAAGGGAACAGAAGGAGATAAAACCATAGACAATAATGGAAAAGAATTAATAAATTTTTGCAACTCTATTAACTTGAAAATTACAAACACCTTTTTCAAACACAAGCCAGTAACTTGGGAGAATAGAGGTTCAAATTCAATAATATACTATAATTACAGATGAAAAACAATGCAAGATATTAAAGACACTAGAATATATAGAGGAAAAGAAATATATAGTGATCATTACCTATCTATAAGCAAAATGGTAATATCAAACCTACAACAAAATAAACAAGGAAGAAAACCAAACCAAATCATCAGAAAAGAAAATAATTTAAAAGTTAATTGGCTGGACAATGAAAGTGTGAGAATATTACAGCATTCAAGAAAATGGAGAAAACTAAGAACAAAGGAGAAAGAAGTGATCAGAGTAAATCTGGAAAAATATAAAGGTAACAATCCTTGAGACAGCAAAAGAGAGCCTAGGAACTACTTACCAAAAGAAGAAAAGAAGACTGAGAACCTGGAACCAAGAAATAAAAAAACTTATAACAGAAAACAAGAGAGCTTACCAAAAAGTCTTACAAACAAAGACTGTAGAGGATCACATCTACATGTACAAAACATACAAACAAACCCCTGGGAATGACTACAAGAGACAGATTCAAACAGAAATCTAATACAGGACAAAGAGTGGGAGGAACACTACAAAAGATTATGGTATGATCCAGAGCAAGAAGATGCAAACACGAGGTAGAAATGGTAACAGAAGCTGAAGAGGAAGATGAAATAGTAATGGATGAACTAGAAAACATAATAGGCAGCCAGAAGAATAGGAAGGAAGCAGGGATAGATGGGATAAAACCAGAAATGATGAAATATGGAGGACAGAAACTTACAATCCAATTACTAAAAATATCGGTAATAGATGAGATAAAGAAACAAAAAACAGTACCACAAGAATGGAGGGTGTCATCATCTCAAAAAAGGAAGCAGCAAAAGTTGTAACAAATATAGGAGCATAAGTATCAGCAAGCATCAGTGACATCAAAAATATTTACAAAATAAGACAAAGATTAATCAAAATCAAAGAAGAAAAAATTGTGGAAGAACAATGTAGATTTCGAAATAAATGCAATATTCACACTCCAACAGCTGTTTATGTCTAGATTATAGAAAAAAAGGAAAGAACATAACTTACTAACGTACATACATTGATTACAAAGGAGCGTAAGACAATGTGAATAGGCAGAAGTTATGGGAAATTGTGAAAGAAGAAACAGTTCCAGAACATGATTTAATCAAAAACATACAGAGCCTGTACCAAGAATCCACAATAGTTATTACAAATGGCCAAGGCACAACACAGCTGATGAAGACCAACAAAGATCTAAGACAAGGAAGCACACTGTCACCACTACTCTTTAACTTTTACTTAAATCACAGGACAAAAACATGGAAACAGAAAACTCAAGCACGAATAAAGATAACAGACAACCAGAAATTAGTGACAATATCATTCGCAGATGAAATTATAATAACAGACTCAGAAGACGCATTGCAGAAAGCAGCTTTAGAGTTAAGCAAAATAAGCAAAGAATATCAAATGAAAATATCAAGCTAGAAAACTAAAACACTAGCCTTCTATGGCAAAGAACATCTTAGAGCTGAAATGGTAATAGAAAATTCAAGTTATTGTTTTTAAATATCTCAGGAATTCAATTAAATCGTACCAGAAGGATATAAAAGAAATAATACAAAAATATAATAGAAACAATAGAATAATAAAGACATTTTGGACATATGAGAAATTAAACAATGAGAATCCATAATATTACATCAAAACCTATGCTAAAATATGGTTCAGAATTGTGGATAAACGGCATAAAGGAAACCAGAAGCACAGAAGTAGCTCAGATAATGTTTCTAAGGCCAGTGTTAGGAGTAACAAGAAGAGACAAAATTTGAAATGAGACAATTAGAAAAGAACTGAAAACAGGAAAATTAGAAAAAGAAATTTAAAAAATCAACTTACCAAAGGAAATGGAGAAAACGTGAAAAGAATGGACAAAGGATGTCTACAACGGACAGCATTTAACTATAGACCGAATGACTAGAGGGATTGAGGCAGACCAAGGCACCAGCAGGAACACTACACCACATGAAGGAATACTGATTTACTACCCACTAACAGGGCAGGAGCACCACTCCTAAATCGAGGGTGTTGTTATTGTTGCTGATGATGATGTTTATGATAAATCAGAGACTTAAAAAGTACTTCTGAGAAAATTATTGGAGAATATCAATACAAATTTCATCTTTGTAAGGGTACGACAGATCAAATATTTGTGGTAAGACAAATTATTGAAAAATTTCAACAATATGATATAGATATTCACCAAATAATTGTGGACTATTAATAAGCATTCGATTATATAAATAGAAAGATTCTTTCTGAAACACACTATAACATAGAAATGTACATATAATGTACTCTATAACATGAAAAATATAATTAGCAAATTAAATGCAGTAACAAAAAGAGCAAATGTATTACAATAGAAACAAGAGTAAAGCAAGGAGACCAGCTACTCTCTTTATTATAGCACTACATAGTATAATAAATAAGTTAATGCATAACAGTTCAATATTTTATAAATTCGTACTTAAAGAATATGAAATAAAAACAAAAACAATTCAATTGACGTTGGAAACAAACTTTTCGTGATAGTCACAAAATTATTAAAAAGCCTTTTAACTCTTGAGAAAGCTACATGACTAAACATGCTGACTTAAAAGATTCACTGAATCAGTGCTGATAATGAAAATACTGGAACAGGTAAAACACAAACCAAACCTTATAAAACACGTCTTCACTCTTCACTGTACTCCCACATCTCTCCATAATTAGGTAAACAGCACTTGTAGACCTCGGCAAAACTTTAAATGAATGTTTTCACTTCATACATAAGAAACAATCTTCATTGGTATCAAACAACTATTAATAGTACTTCTAGTTGTTGTTGTGAGAGCGAATCTTAAATTATCTTATGCAAAGAAACCTCGTTTGTGCAAATCATGGTCTACACAGTTACAAAGCTACCATCACCATCACCAAGGGTTGAAATAAGAGTGGCATTGGTAGTATCGATAAGTGCCAAACCAGTATAAATTTAATAGAATGTTTAAGAATATCTGATCCTGTAGATTATGGTACGAGGAATGTTTCTTTGAAGCTCTACACCTCAAAATTTTAGTTTTTTTAGACCCTAAAACTCTTTGTTCAGGAGTTATTTAACCATATAGCTGACTTACTTCATTGCATTTGTGCACTGCGGGTTGCATTTAGCACGAATATTTATATGTGCTTTTTTCAACAAATCCTTCATATTTTTAAAGTCAAATTGCAATTCTTCACATCTCTGTGAAATTCTCTTTTTTTAAGAGACCTTATTTATCATGATCGGTTGTGTGTGAGAGCCGCAAAAGGTATAGGAGATGATAACCAGTTTGTCTATTATTACTCTTTAATAATTCTCCTGCTTACCTTCTTTCCTAAAACAAATAGGCCATAAGGGGTTAAATGAAAGGAATATGCCTGAAAGGAAAAGATCATGTTTTTTGCTTCTTGCTAGAATGGTTTTATGAAACAAATTGTCTTTACATTACAGGGTAGAATGATTGTATTAGATTTGCAATCAGAGCTTAATCCACAATACAGTCGTCTTGATTCATATTTTGGTCAACCTTTTATATGGTGTATGCTTCACAATTTTGGTGGTACATTGGGTCTGTATGGCGCTGCTGAGAATATTAACTCTGTGAGTTATATATTATTACTTTATTTATTACACCTTAGTCCTACACCTTTTAGAACTAAAGAACTAAATACTTTAATTTGGCTTGTTACAATGTTTCTTTTCTTTATCCTTTAAGGTAGTTTGGCATCTTATACTTGTTTCTTTTATCTCTCTTCTCTATTATTGAATACCTTGTTTCCTCTTTTCTTTTTTTCTTTTTTATTTAAAGAGTTCTTACACAAGTTATTTTAGCAAAAGATTCATTTTTGTCAACCTAGGGTATTTTTAATGCTCGATCTATGAATGGAAGTACCATGACTGGAATTGGACTTACGCCTGAAGGCATTAATCAGAATTACGTTGTGTATGATCTTGTTCTTGATTTAACATGGAGAACTGAACCTGTAAATTTAACTTTATGGTATGTATCTTCAGTACTTTTCACAATAGTATATTGAAAATGAGTTTTGTTTTTTACAACACAGAAAAAGTGCACAGATTGCTCTTCTCCTCTGTATGTCATATAGTATAGTTTTTACTGTTCTTTGACTAAATAAATCAACTTGCCATTGAAATAGTCCTTTACCAGTAATGTGATTATTAGATATTATATTTGAGTAGTATATTGTAATTTACATCTTAATATAAATACACTTGTATCAGTGATAGATTTTACTGGTATTATCACCTTAAATTATTTTTTGGGTGTAATTTAACTTTAATGGGTTATTTTGTATGTATGTAGAAATTGAAAACATAATTTAAAATAAAAATTATTTTTTATAATTTGTTACAGGTTTTCTTCATATGCAATCAGACGATATGGTCACACTACCACTGATGTGGATAAAGCTTGGCAGTTTCTCAAGGTTATAGAAAATCTACTAGAAGTACAATAACAATACAGTAACTTACCTCCCTAATAAAACATTAAAATAAAATAATTATTTTTCTAGTCTGGAGTGTATAATTTTACTGATTTACATCGTGTAGATGGCCAATACATTATATGTTTGCGACCAACACTTCATTTCAAGCCTTGGGTTAGTACTCTCTTCATATTGCATCTGCTATTGTAAATACTCTCTTAATTCTAAGTAAATGAAATTATGTTGAATTTTCTTGATCTGCTTTCAGTATTGGTATAATACAACTGAACTGAAATTGGCATGGGATGGTTTTGTAAATGCAGCTTCAGAACTCGGCTCCTCTCCTTTATTTCAACATGATTTAGTTGATGTAACTCGCCAGGCTTTGCAAGTGCTGGGTGATGGACTGTACACACAAATTGTGCGTGGCTTTCAGAAGAAGAATTTACCCTTTTATCAGTAAGCATTGCGAAACAGTTTTGAGAAGCTGTTTTTTATAATGATGCAAAAGAAAAAGATTAAAAGCACTTTTTTTTTTTTGAAATGAGTAATTCCTCAATTTTTTTTCTTTAGAGAAAATGTTGACATGTTTCTACAACTACTTGAAGATATAAATGAAATTTTAGGAACAAATAAACAGTTTCTTCTTGGTGTTTGGTTAAACAGTGCAAAAAGGAGAGCTACATATTCAGTAGTAAGAAATATTTAGTTATTTGAATATTTGGACTAAATAAGACATAATTTGTAATTTATTGTAATCTTTCAGGAACGCATTATTTATGAATTTAATGCTAGGAATCAAATTACATTGTGGGGTCCTCTAGGAGAAATCAGGGATTATGCAACTAAACAGTGGTCAGGTAATGAGATAAGTGATTTTTTTATGTGAAAGTTGATTGTGTAATTGTGTTTCCAATTTTGATAGGTACAGAAAAGTTAATCTTCTGTGCAGGTGTTGTATCAGATTATTATTATCCTCGCTGGCAATTGTTTTTTGATTTTCTACGTCTAAGCCTTATAACCAAGACCCCATTTAATGAGACTCATTTTGCTATAAGAGTCTTTGAAACTGTAGAAGAACCATTTACATTGGATAATAGTTCCTACGGAACACTCCAATCAGAAATTAACAATATAGAAATCGTGACTAATGAAAATTGCAAGAAAATGGTTTGTCCGCAGAGTGCATCCTGCACAGCAATGGACAAACCACAGTCTAGTCAACAAAGTCTTCAGCATAAACCACACTCCAATTAAACAGAATACCAGTAAATGGTTCACCAAATGTCAAGCTACCTCGACACGATGTAAACAATGTGGCATTATTCGACTAAGAATAAGGCCAGGCAAGAAAATGACTTCCTTCAATACATGGTAAAGAATGAAGAACAACCCATCTGCGCAGCTGCGTGAAGACTCATGACAGTAAAAAGTATTTCTGCAGACTAGCGTAGAATCTCTCAAGAACTTGAGACACAGATGTCGGCATTGAGAGAGGCAACATTGAATACATTTCGGGCACCTGACAAGACAGCAGCTGACAAAACAGAATGACAGTTCTGGAAAGACGCCAATCTTTTTTACAAAATTTAATTTAAAAATAATAGTATATGATCAACTCCTTAACGTTCAATGCCAGTAAAAAAGGCTAATGGCCTTTAGAGGGCCAAGCCTTCAAACAAACAAACAAACAAACAAAAACAAACAAAATTTCAACGACCAGTGCCAAAAAGTAATCATATTTACCTTGAGGCACATTGAAAGAGTAGC